GGTTCAACAAGCTCGTAGCTTCTTCCCGTTGATTTTCATCCGCCTTTAGTTCAATTAGTTCAACGCTGGTGACGCGCGACTTCCTTTCTGGTTTTATCGGTGTTGCATTACTTTTCACGCATGCTTCTTGCAAATCCGTTCGCGCGGTTCAACAAGCTCGTAGCTTCTTCCCGTTGATTTTCATCCGCCTTCGCTTTCTTTAGTTCAACGCTGGTGACGCGCGACTTCCTTTCTGGTTTTATCGGTGTTGCATTACTTTTCACGCATGCTTCTTGCAAAAAGATATTCTCCGTTCGCGATCTGATACAGCAGCTGTTATACTTTGCGATTCTTTCAAAAGCTATATCGGCCTCTGTCAATTTTCCTTTAGCTAATAGCCATCTTGGCGATTCTGGTATAATCCTGTAAATTAGATCGAGATTTGTTTTATATTATTTAACGTATCACTTAATTTTTTCCGAGACACGCACAAATACGACATTTAAAAAGTTCAAGATTTTTTAAATGTTTTTTTATCTTGTAGACTTTTTGCCTCTCGTAGAACTTTTGTGTTGGCTAGATGTTTTTTCCCCTTACCAAATATACAACACAGTGATCGCGGTGGGCACGGAAACGGCCAACTGTAAAATTCGCCAATCGGGAATCATATAACTGAGCATCGCGAGCAGTACGAGACCGATTGACCAGGAGATCTGCATAATCAATGCGACGAGAGTGCGAAATCGCACTGGGAATAGCTCCAGAGAGAGAATATACGTGGAATTCTGCAAACCCTGAACGAATATCCCTTGAAGTCCACGCAGCACCAGAAACGCGGGATAACTCTGAAGACGAAAATTTTTTATTCTTTTTTTTAACATTTGCGAATCTTAATTTTATTACTCGTAAATGTGTTATTTCGCGCTGCCAATGCTGCTCTTTTTTCATCTTGTCAGGCATTGAACTGCGAGATAATTCATTTATGAATGGAAAGTATTAATATATGAGAACAATTATCAAAATTGTAATTTTGTTTAACAATTGGAGAATTGAGTGTAAAGTAAATTTATATAATTTATTTCATTTTATTAGAACTTGAGAAAAGTAATGTGTTTAATTTTCTTGATTTTCGGATGAATTTTCTTTCGTGATTTTAAAAACGTAAAATCTCTTAATTTATCATCTGCAAAATTTTTCACCTGTACCATGTAGAGTGCTACCGCCATCGTGCCTTGCGCGTAAAGACATATCGCTTGGACCGGAAGTCTGCCGATACAATCGGCCAAAAATCCGGTTATCCACGCACCCAAAAGAACTCCGGTATAATAAACAGTCGGACCGAGGAAAGACAAATACCGTCTCTCGCATATTAAACCCCATTCGGTGACGACGCTGTTCTCCGCAAACTCCGTCACGAAGCGATATTCGCCGGAACAAGCCGCAAGGACCGGCACTTCTGGCAACACGGAAGTTAGATTGGCAACAATCGACAAATTTGCGGTCTCTTGGCAGCCATAAGTCTTATGCGATGAATCTTTCGCCTAGAATATATAAAATTAATTATTGCATTAATTGTAAGATAAAATGATCGCAAAGCGAGGAGAATTTTTTTTCTCTTATGTATCTTTTTTTAAATAGCTTTTTTTTTATACAATTTATATTTAGAGGATGAAGCAAAAATATATAAAATAATGGAGAATATAATAAATTTTAAACTCTTAAATTTTCATCAAATGTAATTTACTTTTATGTAATCTTGTTTATATTTTTATGTATATGTATTGTATTTTCTTTATAATTAATGTGTGTCACTGATTTAAATTTACTTCGGCGTTCCATCGATAGATTTGATTCACATATATATCTTTTGTGTCATTGTATCAACGAATATATAATATATAGTTCTCTATTTTATATTTTTATATATCGCGTAAAATAAGACGTAATATCTTGACTCATTTCGAATTCTTTTCATATACTTTATGTTATCTTACCTGACAATAAAATTTTGGTGTATAATTATGGAAAATCAGTAATGCATGACTCATAGCGACGATGACATAGTTTATTCCGAGCAATCGGCATTCATTATGTGAATAACAAGCTCTCTACATCAACCCTTGAAAATCCGACGATTACGTCTCTGTTCGTCAAAGGCGCGACGCATACACGTAGTGCAATTTGAAGATTACGCGAATCCAATGTATCACATTTACTCATTCCTTCACTCGAGATCGACATAAACAATTTTAAAAGGAAAAAGTGACCAAACATTCCTTTTATTTATGACGAGTATTCGATCCATTTGCGACACATAGGAAACTAAACCATAAAAAAAAAAAAAAATTCTGACGTTTAATAAATAGTTTATATTGGATAAGTAAAACAAATAATTATATATTTAACCAAATATTTAAACAAATAATTATATATTTAACTCTCGAAGATTAAGAATGTGAAAGCAGTTTAAAAACTCGTTTGTTTACAAAAAATGGATAGCACTGACAATGAGCGAAAAATATTCGCGAGATTCGAATAAAGTGTCATGCACGAAGGTAAAGCATGCACTGACAGAGAGAGGATCGGCTAGGACGCAAGACGCGAAAGAGGAAACACAGCGAATGAAAACGAAGGAGGACGACGATGTGTAGAGCCTATTGTTCCAATACCTAACGACACGTATATCGGCATGCGGAGCACATATATGCGAGAAGAGAAAACGATCTTTTCTGTCAATAAAAAAATTATTATTATTTTGCGCCTGACATAACTATCGACAGATTGTTCCTTTAATCGTCTTCGTGATTAGTTGCATATGACGCGGACGACGATAACGGAATACTGGATTTTTTAATTTTCGAGCCGAGCCAGATGGCAGATATTGGATTTAATGACGCGTTTGCGGGATAATTGCGTATAATTACAATGTGAATCTCAAAGCGCGAATTGAAATTGAAGACTCGACATAAAAATAGCCGTAGCGCTCGAGCATTTGCGCGCGCGCGTGCACACGAACGCACGCACGCACGCACAACAATATGAATCTCAGTGCACGTGCCACTTTCCTAAATGATAGTTATTTCTATGGAAAGTGTGTGGAAAATGTAATTTTATACAATACACCGTGTATTCATGGTGATTATACCTATATATATTCTGAGCTGTCGTGACGCGAGTCAGATAATGTTCCAGCTAGGTTCACAAACTTTGCAAACGCATTTAACGTCACTTATATTAGTGTACGCAGCATATGCTTCTGGCAGAAAGACGCCTCTGATCGATATTGTCTTTTATTGCTTTGTAAAATTTATTTTTATATATTTTGTTACACTATAATTTATATGTGTCTTACTATCAAATTTTCTCCGTAATGCCAATGCGATCGCCGCCGACGATTTTATACACTTCACATATATCTTGTGAGATTAATTTTGATACGATACACTTTTTCCAGCAACCACGTTCGGAAATAAATGCGTTTCGGAAAGATGAGATGTTTCCTATATAAACATAGTAAATATCGATCGATTATGTATATTATTATAAGTATATTCTGAAATTATTGATGACCTCACGTCACCAAACACATGATCAAAATTGTAGAATCGTAAAATTCTCGATGCAACAGGCGCGAAGAAACGATTCCTCATAGACGTTTTTTACAATGAACACCGATTAAAACTAATATTTTAGCAGTAGACAAAAAATACACGCCATATATTTAGCGGCATTATCTTGTGATTGTGTTATATATATATGTGTGTGTGTGTGTGTGTGTGTGTGTGTGTGTGTGTGTGTGTGTAAATCATCATAGCACACGATGACGATAAAGGTGTTTCCTTCGTTTCTGGAACTGTTTGCGTATGCCGGACTCGTTACGTCCGGTCCCGGTCACATCCTGCCTTTCATTGGTGGTTCATCGCCGAGATGGATCGACGACCGAATCTGAAGGAAATTCTTTCTCTCTCTCTCTCTCTCTTTCCTTCTCGCGTCACCAACGTTGTTGTTATTCATCAATTTGATCGGACGTCACAGCTAGTATATCGACATTCCCGGATCGTATACTCCGCCATTCACGGAAGACATCATTTCCATCCGATTGTTGATGAACGCGTAATAGTCGCTCAGCTATTATTCTTTGCTTTCGTCGCTGCAACAAAATTGTTAAATATAACATTGCCATATCGATTAAAAATAAGCCAAGATAAAAGAATCATTACATATAGAAAGTAGAATTTCTTTTTATCATTCCTATAAATATGGAGAAAACTACATGTTAGTGTATCACTTTTTATACGCATAAATCTAATAATCAGATAAAATTGTATTTTTTTTCCAGCGATACTTCAATTACGTGAGCAAGTCAAATATAAATCGAATTTCTTCCAAAACATTTTATTTAATAAAAATATTTCCAACGCACACCCAAGTCATTTTTTTACATAGTTTCCACTAAAATCTAAGCATTTTTGCCACCGAATTGGCAGTTTTTTTTATTTCCGTATCATAAAAAGTAGTGGGACGTGACTGAAATCAATTGCGGGTGTGCGTTGGAAATATTTTCATCGAATAAAATGTTTTGGAAAAAGTTCGGTTTATATTTAACTTGCCCACTTGCGTACTTGTATGAGATTATGATATAAATTACACACACATACACAATTAACATTCACTACAATAATACTCGTAGGTATAAAAAAAAAGAAAAGAAGAAAAAAGATAAAGAACTAAAATGTGCTACACAATTAAAGAGATTATTAAAATACAGCTAAATAGATTTATTCCCAAAGCAATTTGAATCGTAAGTAGTTTTTTGAACCATGTATGTACGTCGCTAGAGAATAGCGGCTAGCGTTATTACGATGGGCAAAAAAAATTTCGTAACACATCGCGTAATATACGGCACGGCACGAATGGATGATGCGCCGGCTAACGATCCGTGCCGGATTTCATTGGCTCTTACGATTTAGGCTAATTTCTTGTGCGTTTTCTAGCAACGTGCACCTCCTCAGGATTTACCGCGCATCATTTTCCCGCGTAACAGTAAGCAGGCCAATAGCACAGGGTTGTGGTAATAATCGGAATAAAGGTCATTCGAGAATAGTGAAAGAGTACGAGCGATGATACATCCCCATTCAGAATATTGTGCAAACATCGTTGCAAACGCAAATTTTCACTTTGTTTAATGACGGACGGGTCTTCATAAATTTTTGATTTTGTTTAATGAGTTATAATTTAATAGACTCCTATAAATTTAAAATATCTTCTTCTCCGCCCCAATAAATATAAACATTTGAATGAATTTAATTAGAAAAATTGGATTTCTCCTTCTCTAAAATTATTGTAAATAATTATTAAGCAAATGAATCATTGTAGATTATTAATATCGCTAAATAAAATTTTATTAAATAATTTCTGAAATCTCGCCATATGTTGTGACATTTTGCTAAGCAACAATGAAAAAAGAAAAAAATGTGCGCATATAATTATAAACTACAATACAAAAGAATATTGCTCTAAGAAGACATCGCGAAACTGATGAATCATAAATTTAGACATTTTTCGGTATTTCTCCGTTTTTATTCCACTTGGATTTCGCTATGCGATAGTAGTAAAATTTTCGCTAAATAATTGTAATATTTTCTCAGAGATCTCTCTATATAACAAATTCCTTTAGATTTCGCCAAACAATCATAGCGAATAATACTCGTTGAAATCTTGCGTGTGGAAAACGCGTAACGTAGCGATAAAACGCGCACGCCGAATGTCGCGCGAATGACTGGCATCCAACCTTATGGCGCGCGACGAGTGACGAGCGACGACACGAAGCTAAGATTGGCCTGGATGCCTTTTTTTTCGTCATGTACCGTTATCGCAGAATATCTTGGATGTTCCGCGATCTGCGCTCGTGTATCGACGACGTGTCGATGTCGATTTCGCCCGGCTAGTCGGGGAGAGGCGGGTTGTCATAGTGTTTCGACTATTGCCGCCTCTCTTCTCTACAAGACACAGCGCGTGTTGTAATGGACAATAAGACCGACTCTCGCGCAGATCCAACGACTGGCCGTTCGCTCGATTTTCCTCGGTCAGTTCTACTCGGCGAACGTAGCGCGATAGATCGCTCGTTGCGTTCCGGATGTCTCGTACGCAAATATCGGGTCGACGTCTTTTATACCAGGGTGAACGCCGATCCCTGTCGAGTTACCGCACGAACGGTCGGTCTCCGTCGTCACCAAAGTGATTATCGCGCGCACTAGGAAGCGCAACATGAGAGCCCGGATAGTTTTGCTAGGAGTTCTACTCATCTGCACGAGCGTGAGTACGAATTTCCTCAAATTTTTTTGTAACTTCTTTCGTTTTTAAGATTCGGACCGCCTTCGAATCACTTTGTCATGTCAATCATATCACAGTCTGAAATTTAACAAATATTAAAAAAAAATACCATTTTATTATCATCATTTTTGTAAAATATTTATAGATAAACTTTTTTTATACGAGTAAATTTTCTTTCGGTTAGTTGGTTAATTACCACAGAGAATTCAACTTATCTTATTCCAGAAATTATCTCATAATTCGCAGATTCGGTATGCAGAGAGTAGATCGAAAAAGACGACGCAACTGTCGCTACAGAGCAAAGAGACCAACGTGGTGAACTTTATGCGATTGCTAGTGATGAGATTGGTTTTCGGAGTAGCTTCGGCGATGGGATTGGGTGAAAACCTCTCGGGTGTACTTGGCGGAATTTTCGTACCACCTGGAGCCGATGACTACAATGATTACAATGATTATGGCGATGATGTCGGTTTCGTACCTGATTTTTTTTAGAGTAGATATCTTCTAGTTTAATCACGCGCACGCGTCTTTGACGACGTTATACGAGGACGATGCCTTTTGAAAAGTTTGTCCATATAACAAAGGCGAACTTTCAAATCATTATCTCGGCAAAATAGATCGGTTCGAATAATGAGAAATTATTTCTTTGCTAGCTTTGCATCTTGGAAAGATTTCCTCAACCAAGCAGAATGAAATAAATAAATAAATACATGAAAATTGATACAGAAAATATGTATGTATATTATATGCATTCTTCTGAAAAGCTACCATACTTTGATTATTTTCTTGCCATCGGCAAACTCTCTATATTGTGTTCTATTAAAAGATAAATTTTAGATACAAATAATTGCGAAAAATAATAATAATAGATATAAATTTATATAATGCTCAACAAACTTTGTATAAAGAAGCATGGACTGCAAGAAAATATAACTTATCAATCTTGTGACAAAGAAATTAAAAAGGTTTCCTTTCTCTCTCTTTTTTATACTTCACATTACTTACTACAATAAAGTCAAATATTTGAAAATTTATAAAGTATAAATAGTTACTCGTGTGGCGCAATAACTGGATTATGATTCAGCCGCGAGTCTGTCCATCTCGCGCGCGAGAGGCTTTTTAAGTCTTTCGTACCGTTATCCGTAATTTCGGTAAAGCTAATGGATGCGCATCGGTTAGTGCAGGTGAAGATATGGATAGCACAAATCGCTCGTTTCCGCTTTCCGTTTTATCCCGTATCGTACCCATCGATGCCATTGGTTTCGGTCCAGTGAAATCAGCGTCCGCTAATCTGCGATAAAAATCTGTATAGAAGTAAATTTAATGTTTATCTTCTGAAAATCTTTTAAGAACCAGTTTCGACTATCTTGATAAAGGCGTAACATTTTTATTAGTTTATTTCGCACCTCACTGAAATGGATTGTGGAATGTAGAAGTGTGAATCACTTTCAAAATAATATAATTAACTCAAACATGTGTGTAATATAAAATAGAATTTATAAAATTACTATGAGAGTTGCATTTATAAAAAATATTTTGTAAATGTGTGTGTGTGTAAAGCGGAAAACGCGGCGTTTATTACTATTAACAAAATTATTTTTAAAAATTTATTTATTTATTTTATCTTTAAATAAT